ATATATATATATATATATATATATATATATATATATATAAGACTCCTAAAGTCAGTTAGTAGTTAGTATGTAAACAAAGTTATCATAAGCCCAATTTTACCTCACTATAAGTAGAACCAACAATTTTTTCACTATGATGCATTGTAGTGGCTGCATCATGCTGGGGGCAATTGTTTCTTTGACAAGGGCAGGGAAGCGGTTCAGAATTAATTGCAATGATGGATGAAGCAAAATTAAGTTCAGTTCTGGAAAAACAGCTGTTATAGGTGGGGAAATATCAGAGATTGACACAATGGTTCGCAGAGGAGCATGTTGGATTGGATTTGATCAAAGTATTGTTTAAGCCCATAATTAAATCCAGTTAAAATCTGCAGAAAAATGCATGTTCAGATGATTTCTATTTAATCTGACTCAGTTTAAGGGATATTAATTGCAAAGAAGATTTGACAAAAAGAAGAAAATCATGTGTTGCCTATTTTTACCCTTAACATTTTACATTTTGTGGTGATTTGTCACACATGATGAAATACATAGTAAACTGTGTCTGTAATTTAACAAACAGGTAAAGATTGTTAGTGGACTCACTTTGAATTAAACTAATGCAGTCTGTGTCATCCAAACACTACAGGAAAAATTCTCTGCTTTAGATTCCTCTGCTGAACCTACAGGTATGTGATGCAAGACGAGAATTCAGCTCATGTTACTTATTTGCAGCATTTTCAATAAACAGCATTCTATGTAATATTAATGAACTGAAAGAACCATTTGGAAACAACTTTCATGCTCAACAACCGTTTCTTATTTGTTTATATGTTTTTCTTCCCTTCATAGTAAAGCCTCGATTACGTCGCTCTACTCTGATGCCAGACATCACACACCTAGAGCTGCTGGTGGTTGTGGGGCCCGACGTCCAGCAGGTCCACAAACAGGACACAGAACGATATATTCTCACCAACCTAAATATTGTAAGTCTAAACCTTCAGTGGATAGAAATTTAGGTCAAACATACAATAAGGCTGCTCTAAGGAGTGGTCAATAAATTATGAATTAGAGCTAAACACTTGCTAAGACACTGTGTATTTTATATAATAACTAACTCTCAGCAGAAAAAAAGTATACCGGTGATCACTACTATGCATTCTCCCCAGGCGTCTGAGCTGCTCAGAGACATGACTCTGGGTGCCAACATGAGGGTACACCTGGTCCGCATGATCATCCTGTCACAGCCCGAGGTAAGAGGTTGGATTTAGGAGATATAGGACATTTGCTTACAAAGTAAAATGAGGGCTGGTGCATACTAAAACTTAATGGTTGGGATGTGTAATAGTGAGCTGGTGATAAAACATTAATTGAGATCAAGTTAAGGTGAGGCAGATTAATTTATATGGCACATTTCAATGACAATACAATTTAAAGAGCTTTACATGAAAAAAACGGGATGCAGGCAGCAGCATTCTGGATTATCTGCAGTAGTCTGATCCATATTTTAGGCAGACCTGTGAGGACAACACTGCAATAATCAATTCTACTAAAGATTAATGTATGAATCCTGCTGAGATATTAGTTCTTTAATCCTGGAGATGTTCTTTAGTTGATAGAAGGCCAACTTGGTTAGTGTCTTTATGAGCCTCTGAAGGTTCAGGTCTGTCCATCACTACATCAAGATTTACAGGCTGATTGGTGCTTTTGAGGAGGATTGGCTGAAGCTGTGAGAGAAAAGAATCATGATGGAACCACAGATTATTATGACCTGCTACTTGGGTAAGACAGTTATAGATTTCCTAATTCATCTGTTACAGGAAAAAGAGGATGCACCTGAATAAAAATGAAACATTGATGGAAATTTTGAAAACAACACATTTACATTTTCTTTTTTGAAAAAAAGCTATGTCCCAGCTACAAAAACAACAGGAGAGAAGGCTTAACGATGCAGAACTCTCCATACACAATTGTTTTGCTGCTCTCTGCCATGTTGAAAGGTCAAAGTTTACATCATCTCATCAACTTTGGCATCATACAATTTTCCAACAGAAATTACACGTTGCTGTGCAATTTTTATGTCGTTTTTTTTTGTGTTTACTATAATTACGATACCACATGAAGGCATCATGAGTTGTTAGTTAGGAGGAGTATGTACTGTAGATATTTAATAAATTGTGGCCTTAAGATGGACCCTTTGGAAATGCCACGTGTTCTTGATCCCTGATGTAAAGTTATCTACTGAGAATAAAAGTTTTTTTGTTTTTTTTTATTGTCCTGACACTTTCTCAAGAACAGGGCAACAAAATTAACTCTTTGCATTTAACCCATCCCCTTGGGTAGCAGTGGGCTGTCATTGTGCGGCGCCCGGTGAGCAGTGTAGGGTTAAGGGTCTTAATTAGGTACCCAGGAGTGGCAGTCTGTGGGAGTGGGGCTTGAACTCAGAACCTCAGGATTCCAGGTGCAATTCCCTTTGCAAACACAACATGCCAAAAGGCATTGCCTTAGGACCCACACTGGCAACTCATTCCCCCCCAGCTGGGATACGAAGCCAGGCTTCCTGTTTGCAGGAGGGGGTGACTAACCATTTGAGCTAACCACTGTCAACACTCTATGTAAAACTATAGAAAATGTTTATCTTCTAATGTTTTCCTAATCCACCTCTTCTAGCCAGAGATCCAAATGTCCACCAACATCACTTCCTCTCTGAGGAGTGTGTGTGACTGGGGCAGAAGGATCAACCCCTCCAATGACTCAGACCCACTACATGCAGACCTCCTGTTATATGTAACAAGGTATGGATATAATCTATGCAACTCTAAACATATTCATTATTGTAAAAATCCTCTTTATCACTTAAATATTTTCTTTATTCAGTTTATGGTAGCTGTGATTTTCTTCTAGAATTGTCTTTAATTTAGCATGTCCACAGCATGATGTCAGCATTTTGGTAAAGAGTTACACTGGGTCACATCTATTTAGAGGACCTTCTCCCAGAGGTTTAGGTGCCCAACAGGGTTTGTGGTAAACTGCAAATGGAGTTTTTTGTTTTTTTTTTGTATTCACTAAAAGAATTTATTTTCCTCCTGCTCTTCCACAAATGCCAGATTTATGAAAGATATTACTAATTGATGGTCTATCAATAAATTTTCTCACCTCAGCTGTAGATCAATGAGCGTGTTAGTTTAGGTAACAAACTCAGATTTCCTCAATGCAGGTAGAGCTATTTCTCTGCTCTTTTATCTCTTCAATCTATTCTATTCCATTATATTTTCCTCTATTCCATTCTCTTCCATTCTTTTCCATTCTCTTCTCTTCCATTCCATTCCATTCTATTCTATTCTATTCTATTTTATGGCCATCTCTTGGAAGGTTTTGCAGTCTTTTAGAAAACAAATAGCATAGCTAAAACCTTGGTATAGTAGTATGTAGACAGCGGATACTATTTAGGGATGGTAGAGTAAATGAGACTGACTAATATCAATGCAAATAACACTTAAATTTTTGGCAAAACAACTTGAAACAATTCATGCTTTTATTTCAAGTACATATGTTTTTTTTTTACTTTTGCTTTGGTTTAAAATCTGGATAAAAAAAAGAAAAGTTTGTGCTTCAAACTTTCTTCGAAATATGAAAAGGATAAGTGTTCATGTTACTTTTGCAGGGCACTGTGTTTTATTAACAACGAAACATGGTGATTGTATAAATGCTTTGTTATCTGAAGGTACGATCTGGAGCTGCCAGACGGGAACAAACAGGTCAGAGGGGTGACACAGCTTGGAGGGGTCTGCTCCAGGGAATGGCCCTGCGTGATCACAGAGGACACAGGCTTCGACCTGGGCATCACCATCGCTCATGAAGTTGGACATAGGTATAAGAAAGAATAATCCCTCAATCTGTGGTAAATTACAGGTGGGATTTCCACCTTATGATTGAGTTATACCAGAGAGGAAACATAGCAGATTTGCAGGAAAGCAACATTTAAGGAGTGGGACTGCAGGCACCTTGTCTAATATATGTTTTTTTTATTAGTTTGCTCCATTTTGTGTTTTTCTAATTTACACGTCTGTTGTTTCAAAGTTTTCTTTCAATTTCTGAGACAGCATAATTTGGAATGAGTTACAGACAAAAGGTCCCACCTGTATGAGATATAATACCTTAATGGTTAAAACTTTTTCATAAAACTATTAAAAAACTGCAATTTTTTTATATACAATCTTTTATAATCTTTTCTAGCACTAAGACAGCAGGTGAAAAATTATGAATATGTGGCAATTACGCTTTCACAAGTTTCACAAGTATCGTTCTGGATGAATTTTTCATATAGGATAGTTTTACAATTTAAACTTTACTGCCTTGCACTTAGTTTTGGAATCAACCACGACGGGGTAGGGAACAGCTGCAGCCGGAGCGGCTTCATAATGGCCACAGACGGAGGCTATAACAGTGTGGATTTGACCTGGTCCCCCTGCAGCAGACAGCAGCTTCTCACCTTCTTCAGGTATGCCAACCTGTTCAATGCAACTGTACCTAAAAAAAAAACGTCATTTATGATGAAAATCTGCTGTTTCAGGGAATGTTAAGATCCATTTTTCTATCTTTCCCCCCTTTTTTGCAAATCTTTTAATCAGTAAAACTAGCTTCAGTTTAATTGTTTGTATACACCTAAAATAATTGCAATATTTGTATATGTTAGACATTAATTTGTGAGCATTCCTTGTCAAAGATCTAAATATTGGACCTTGATAACACAATGAAATATAAGATATCACTCTATTAAATGTTCCCAGTGAAGGTAGGGCTGAATGCGTCAAAGATTTCCCTGCACTCGGAGGCTCCCTACAGGACTGGAAGCCAGGGTTGTATTATGGAGTTGATGACCAATGTCGTATAGCTTTTGGCAGCACTGCAAGAGCCTGCTCCTTCTCCAATCCTGACCTGGTATATTACCTGTAATAACAACTCTGCAACACTAGATGGAACCCCACTTCATAGCAACATGCATGCAGTTCCATGGCACATGTTCATTCATGTTTACAGTTATAGTCTAATTTTCCATCAGCCAGCTTGCCGTGTTCTGTCCTGTCACGTTAAACCTGAAGATGTCGGCTCCTGTAAACGCCTCCTGGTTCCTTTGCTGGATGGGACAGAGTGTGCACCCAATCAGGTAACACTCTATGTGTTTACTGACCAATACTGCTGCTGTTATTCTAAAGTGTAGAAGAAAGCACAAGCACACTATGCCTTCTGTCTTCTAGTGGTGTTTGAAGGGACGCTGTGTGTCCACAGATGACTTTGGTTCCTCTGTGGTGGTCAATGGCTCCTGGTCCAGCTGGTCTGAGTTTTCGTCCTGCTCCAGGACATGTGGCGGAGGAGTCATGCTCCGTACCAGGGAATGCAACAACCCAAGGTTGCAAGTGTTACACAAGCTTTAAGATTTGCTTCAGAGAGCTGCTTTTAAAGATCACGTGTGTCATGTGTTTTCAGACCTGCTTTTGGAGGGATTGATTGTGAGGGTCCAGATATTGAGGTTGAACTTTGTCACCAACAGGCAAGTTCTTACTAGTTTTGTTGACACTGGGCCTCCCCATTAGCCTGACAAAAGTGTTCCTGCTTCATGAACCCATTCATGTTTTCTAAAAAATTAACTACAAATTTAAAACACCACAGAGTTTTTGTGCATAATAATGAAGAAAAAAAATTGGATTTTCAAGTCTTGCATCAGATTCTCTATTGGATTCAGGTCTGGACTTTGGAAAGGGCCTACTCTGCTTTAAGCTTTAAGCATCTTGAACATTTGTCCTTCATTTTAGTACAGCTCAACACAGATGGACCTGAAATTATGGGCTGCTGTGGTTCAGTAGGAGGAGATTTGCCCTCATTAGAGTTGTGGTTTTTAATTGAGCCTCCTCCCTTTTTACATCACTATGCCCTTCAGCAAGATACTTAACCTAATATGTGTATCTCTGCATACATTTGCTAGAAAGCTGGTGTGAGCAAGACTAAGAGTATAATAACTAAGAGTAGCTGATATGACATTATATACAGGCCTTTTAACATTACTTTAGTAATATCTTGAGGGACTTTGGTTGAAAAGGATTTTCTTAAAGTTGGTTTATGACACGTAAGTAGATAGGTTCAAGGTTCTGGAGTTGAACAAAAAATCTTGGTACCCAGAACTCCAATATATTAAATGAGGTCAGGTACGCATTCTCGCTATACGGCATCTTCACGTGCACACATTTATTGGATTTTGCAGAACCTGGGGTGCTGGTTATCCAGATTCTTTTTCAACACTAAAGTCCCGATTAAAAAAACACTAAAGTTAAATCCCACAGTATAAAATGTTGAAGGTATACTGAAACTTTTGGGGAGCACTATAGCTCAATATCACTACCACAGTGGATGAACAAACACGTTTTTATAACATCAGGTAGTTAGTTGTTCTGAAAGACACTTTGGGATACTAACATTTAACATTGCAATTAAAGGTGGAGAGACTAACCTCTTAGCAAACAATCTGCTAGAGTTTAATGAAAGCTCCTTTGAATCACAGAGCAAAATGATTAATTGAGTCATTCTCTCTCTGCTACGCTGCTTTAGCCTTGTGAGGGGACCCAGCTGGAGTTCATGGCAGAGCAGTGTTCTCAAACAGACCTCCGACCTCTGTACTTGCTACCCAACACTGCTTCCTTCTACAAATGGATCCCAGCTATTGGATTTGTTAAAGGTGACAATAATCAAAACATTCTGGGCCGACACCCATATCTGATATTAATATCACACTCATGACTGATGACCGATATTTACTTAGATCAGAAATCATATATTTCCCTATCCTTTTGACACCTTGAAGAAAAACAAACACAACGCTGATAATGCTTTTCTTAAACACCCATAATCCTGAGATGCATAAAAATCAGTCACACGACCGATCTGCTTCCTTCCTTCCAACGTCTGGAAAAAAAAGAAATCTGGAAACTACATGGAAATAAATATTAGTTGTTAATATCAGCTTAGTTTTACTTATTGGTCCGTTAGCGTTATGCTTCAAAATGACCAACATGGTCCGATATTAATATTGTTATTCTTTGTTTGTTTTTTTGAGTTTTTACAGTACTAGTGGCTTGTTTTTTCAAAAGTATGCTGACATGAAAAGAGGTATGAGAGGGGGAGAGACATGCAGCAAAGAACCACAGGTCGGATTTGAACCCAGATTAAGGAGGACTAAGGCCTCCGTACATGGGCCCCACCTGCACGCCCGGCTGATATCAACATTAACACAGATATATATCATTGGGGCTGTGGAAAAAAAACCGATTAGGTGATATAATGTGATTTTAAGCTGCCTGATATAATATAGATTTTTCAGTTCCTAATATTGATTAAAAAAACAAACAAACATTTGACCAAAAACAATGAAGGAAAATTGGCTACATCTGCACCACCACTCTGGTAAATAGCACCATGGAGCCCTTTTGCTGTGTGGCGCAGTGCCATATCTGTAGTTCAGGCAGTCACGGTGGAAGACGTGATATACAGTGATATTGCAATATCGTGATAATGCCATATCGTGACCCAATAATTGTGATATGTATCGTATTGCAACACCCATGCTAATACTTACCCCTATATGTCATGCATCCCTAATTCCTTCCTATGTTCCTGTGTCCAGTAACTCACATTTTATCAAACTTTGGTGACAATCAGGCGATGAGCAGTGCAGGTACATGTGCCAGTCAGATGCAGAGGACTTCATAGTGAGCCGTGGGTCTCATTTTGTGGATGGTACTCGCTGTGAGTCAGATAGCTCAACTCCATACGGCGCAACAGCTGCTTGTCTCAGAGGCAGATGCCAGGTAAAGAAGAATACTCATACCAGGAAGATGATTCAGTTCAACTTGTTCCCCTTTTTTTCATGCATGCTTTTCATTCTGGGATCAGCTGTTCGGCTGTGATGGAGTGCTACACTCTGGGAAAGCGTGGGATGTTTGCGGAGTGTGTGGTGGAAATGGGTCGACCTGCATTTTGACATCTGACTCCTACAGCGGCGGTCGCGCCAAAGGTATCAAATGACTGGATAAGTAATTGCTTTTATTAACACTAAAGCATGAGAAACTGACTCTATTTGACTCAATTCTTTCTCCTCTCTCTTATTTTATTACAAAGAGTACACCACTTTTCTCACTCTGCCAGTTAATGCCTCCCAGGTCTATATTGTCAACAGTGGACCTGTTTTTACTCATTTAGGTGAGTAAAATCACTTTATAACAGATTTAATTTTCTTCGACCCCAAACGTTTTGTATCTAAAACATATGAGGTTGTTCTGTCTGCAGCTGTAATGGTTGGGGGTGAGTACATTGTGTCTGGGACTGGTGCCATGTCTTTGAATATCACCCACCCCTCACCGCTAGATGAAGACTACATTCAGTACCGCCTTCACCTCACTCCAGACCATTTACCCGAGACAGAAGAAGTGGTTCTACCTGGACCTCTTAAACAGGAGATAACCATACAGGTCAGGAAAATCGACATATCTGGTTCATCTAGAAGTAGAAATAAACGGTATTTCTAGAGATCTTCTTATGCAGCCTTTTCCTTAAAGGCACTCAGTCTAACTGGTACTGCTTTCTCTTCCTCCATTTTCACGATAATGAAAAAAATTATAGTAAATATTGAATGAGTCTCAACTTAAACAAACAAAAAAAGATGTATTAAAAATGTATCCATTAGGAAGAAAAAATGAAGAACCTTTACTAGAAAAAAAATGGTAATATGGGCCTTAAATATTCAATGTATCAGTGTATCTCTACCTTCAAATCTCAGATTAAGACCTTTCCACAGACTCCAGAAAGAGATTGCTAAGGAGGGATTTAAACTACATTCTGCTAAATTATGTGATTTCAGCATCTCTGCCCCTCCTGTTTGCAAAGCACACCTAGAAAAATTAAGCAGACAGTTCCTCACAGCAAAACATGGTGGGCAAGCGACAGCATCTGCTAGAAAGGGTTTGCAAAAATAAACATCTGTACACGTCTCTTGATCTGGCGCATGAATGTTACTTTGATCAAGCCCCTTAGAAAGAAATTACTTAGATAACACAAAGAGGCTTCATGCACTGCAAAAAATTGAAATCTAAATAAGTAATTTTTTCTCAATAATAAATGCATTTTTTTCTTGAATTGAGGAGATAAGTGAGACACTTTGCCAATGGAACAAGACAATTTACATTTAAAATTAGATGTAATAATCTCATTTTAAGAGTAAAGAACCTACTGTAATTCCATTGGCAAATCATCCTATTTACCATCTCAAATTAAGATTAAATACACTTTATTAAAGACATTTTTTATTTAATTCTAGACCATTTTTGCAGTGTGTTATATGGTGTTGTAAGCTTGCGTTCTGTGCTGTACCCTAGAGTTAGCCAAAATATTAGATGAGAAGAGGAAAAGTGTATAAAAGCTGTAGATGTTGTGTCCACCCAAAACAAAAACAAAATCCTGGCATGACCGAACTCTTAGTACATTTAAAACTATTTATTCTCCCTCTTTTCCCTGAAATCTGTCACAAATCTGCACAGACTTTTCTAAGCAACTATATACTAGTGTTGCACCAATACCGATACCAGTATCGGACGAGGCCCCGCTACTGCCCTAAAATGGTGGTATCGGTATCGGCGAGTACCAACAAACAGGGCACCAATACCATTTTGAGAGCCATAAGTTTATTCACCCACTCCAGGTAGGCAATAAAAAGTTCTGCTGGATTCACTTTGTATTAGATTTTTTTCCTGCTTTACAAAGGTAAGCAGCAGCTTGACAAAGCCATGATGGAGATTATTTTACATTTTTATCGGTATCGGCCGATACTGCACAGCCAGGTATCGGGTATCGGTATCGGGGCCAAAAAATGGCATCGGCGCAACACTACTATATACACAGTAGGAGGTTTCTCCACCTCCGCCATCAGTTTCAGCATTGCTGTAGAAGACGGGACACCATCAGTATTATATATAGAAGGCAAAAAATTATTTTTCTTGCATCATTACCCACTACTAAGCATACCAACCCATATAACCTTTTTTAAACACACTCCCCTGTCATGGCAGCTCATGTAAACAAAAAGCTGGTCTGGTTGCTTTCTACTACCAGTGATAGTAGAAAGCAACTTGATCTTCTCTCTGTTGCACACCGACTTCGTTTAATTAGTGACAGCAGGCCAGGCTTCAGCATCTCTGGAACGGACACAACAGGAGAAAATATTAATGACTATAAATTAAGAAACATTGGCGGGGGGAGCAAAGGGAGAAAAGGAAAGCAAGGTGACACCAAGAACAGGGAAAACTAACGAGAAAATCTGTACATAATTTTCAATTCGGCCTTCTACTTCATTTAGAAAGAATAATTCATACGAAACACAAAATCTTTGGGGTTCTTTGCAATTGTTTAAAAAAACATTCTATCAATAATGGTTTTCCTTCTCATCATCACATCTGTAATCTGAAAAACCTGCTTTAATCAATCAATCTATGTGCTGTTTGGATATATAAACTGCTCTCAGTCAGATCACAGCAAGGTATTTCTTCCCTTGGAGATTATAAATGGTTTATTTTAGCTCCTTGGTTTTGTTTGTTGCCTAGCACAGCATCAAAGTGACCAATTATCCTTTAAATATGCCAATGATCAATCCATACAGGGATATGTGAGCCATATATTATGGATGAACTACCTCTGCTGCTACTAGGCTCTGTATGCTATTCCCATGACCCAAATCTGCTATCACTATAATATAAGCAGTGGTGTCAAAAGTCCACACATTTGTTACTTAAGTAGAAGTATAGATACTGCAGTTTAAAAACACTCTGGTAAAAGTTGAAGTATAAACTTGACCTCTTTACTCAAGTAAAAGTGAAAAAGTATGTGCTCCAAAAACTGCTTAGAGTATAAAAGTATAAAGTAACCTTAAAAACAAACAGCCAGATGCCACTATATAATTGAAAAACTCAATTTTACGACTATATCTAAACATTCTTTGAGATAGAGCCAATGATGAGGGAGGTCTTGTTGGTCTCCACCTCCCGATACGCTCTTGCCTGTGTCCGACCTTTCAGACATTTCAACATCTTTTTCTGAATCCGACATATTGTAGCATGGCATAGACAATTTGCGTTTACAGTTTGAAGAACACCTTCTTGCTTCTGATTATTTCCTTCAGCTAACCAATGAGTGTTTCCGTTATATGACCATCAAATTCCACTAGTTTTCACTATATGTGGATGGTGCACATGACGTGAAATAAATACTTACAAACATTAAACCGAAGCTAAGAGTAACGAGTAACATTTGTTTTAAAAGTATGAGGAATAGAAGGTACAGATACTTGTGTGAAAATGTAATGAGTAGACGTTAGAAGTAGGAAGAAAAGTAATTAATGGAGTAAAGTATAGATAGAACAAAGTATTTGTACTTTGTTACTTGACACCTCTGAATATAAGCCATTGTGATCCAACTATCAATATTTAGTGAATGCTCAAAACTGTTGGAGAAATTTAGCTCTCCAATTATGCATAACGGGAAGCTCACTGTGTAGATGCATCCGAGAAGACAAGTTAAAAAAAATTTAGAGACCATCCATGAGTTGGAGAGTGTTTATATTGTACAGCTGTCTGAATTAAACACTAAGGAGACCGGGTCATCTAGAAAGAAAGAAGCTGTGTTTTTAAATAGTTGATGTCTAGTAATATTTTGGAGGAAATACATTTAATAATGTCTTCTAAAGCTTATTTCATAATTTTTTCAGGTCTATCGTAAATATGGACCAGAATATGGTGAAAAAACGAATCCAAACATCAGCTTTCAGTTCTATGTGCCAAGAAACAAGAGCTTGGCTGACAGCTTACCGAGAGGAAAATGGACTGCTTTCACAACACCTTGCTCTGTCACTTGTGGATTGGGTAAATGTTTGCTAACAAATGCATGTAATTCATGATATACATGTAATAAAATATACATATTTTTTTAATGCTTCACCACCTTTGTTCAGGTATAGAAAAGCATGAGCATGTCTGTGTAGATGAACACACCAACAACCTTTTGAAGCCACACCACTGTAAAGCTCCTCCTCCGCCTACAGCGCTGCACACAACCTGTCAGCTCCCATCCTGCCCCCCCAGGTTAGGTTTACTCTTGGCTCCGTTCTCTATTATTATTCGTCCTCCCTTTGCAGGTATGCATGAATAATTGACTATTTTTCAGGTGGGATGCAGCAGGTTTTGGGGCTTGCAGCGTCTCCTGTGGGGGGGGAGTTCGGGTGCGTCGTGTGCAATGTGTTCAAAAACATGGATCCGATGTGGTAAAGGTTCCAGATTCAGAGTGTCCCTCAGATAAAACTCCCCACTCTGTGGAAAAATGTAACCTTCACCACTGCCCTGCCAGGTGACCATGTGACCTTTTATTCATTTGTTTGCAAACAATAATTCGCTCTAGTGATCCCAGAGTATATTTTTGGGGATTTTTTGTGCAGTCCTAAATTGAATTCAATATAAACACTTTCTCTTCAGATGGTCTGTGTCAGAACCAGGAAACTGTTCAGCAGTGTGTGGACCAGGAGAAGCAAAACGCAACGTGTCATGTATCCGACGAGAAGACGGATTGGATGTCATAGTGGATCATAAATATTGCTTAAATCAGATCGCACCTCCAGAATCAGTGCCCTGTGTGGTAAACGTCTGCCCCATTGGGTGGGAATCTAAGCGAGAGGTAAAGTCAAGATGACAGTGACTTTTTCCAGTTCCTTATTGCATTTAATGTCTAACGAGTCTCATTCTTGACCAGGATCAGCCTAGTTTGAAGTCTAGCTTGATGCCACGTTCCAGACAGGCTGCTGTGTACGTCTGGAGTCCTGTTGTCAGCCAGTGTTCCAGGACCTGTGGGAATGGTGAGCAGAACACTGTAGCCAGAGACACTTCAGAAGCAGAACATCCTCTTTTTGGTATAATAACTAAAGGCCTGATGCTCGTGCATGGAAGGAACCCTACAGGTGTGGTTTTCTTGTGTGGATCACGAGACGGGACAGGGGGTTCCTGACTTCCACTGTGACGCTTCCAGCAAACCTGATCCTTACTTTGAGATGTGTGCTGTTTATCCCTGCCCTCCGATGTGAGTAACATTTTTTTTTTTACATGTAATTAGGAATTTATAAATGTTTTGTTACTGCTATGCTTTGCATGAATCCTCTCATACGCTTAAGATTAAGAGATGCTCAATACATTTAGATTAACGCCCACATTTTTTCAGATTTTCATCTGTAAAAAAACCCAACAAGGATTAAAATCCATGAATTATTCTCCTTTCATATTTTGGAATAAAGAAAAAAGTGACTCTTTAATAAAGAATTGTATCTACAGCTGTCCTATTCTTATTGTTTGTTCTTATATATTTAATATATTAATATATATACATATATTATGTGTATCTGCATGCATACTGTACAGTTATTTTCCCTAATATAATCTATTCTATTCTTTTTTTTTTTTTTACTTTTTTTTTTCAAGAATTTTCAAGAATGTTCACAACAAAAGAACATTCCCTGAGCCGAGAGCAATGAAATCAATAACAGCAATGCTAATGCCACATATACAATATTTCAACATAAATGCAGCACAATAAACCAGATCACCTGAAATTTGAATACCCTAAAAGAAAAAACTGCACATACATACTACCATATGTATATATACATACACACAAACCCACACCCCTCCCCTTCCCCTCCAGGGTGCTCACCCACAGGCCAAAAATACAACATAAAGTAAACAAACAGCAAAAAAAAAGACATATATAATACATACACACATACATGTATACATACACATATATATACATATACAAATACATACCTTAGGACTACCGATGACAGAGCACACTGCAATTTATTAGAATAACTGGAGCCCAAAATCATACTATTCTATTCTATTCTATACTATTGTGTTTGCCATGTTTCCCTTAACAACCAGGTGGCGCTCTAAGCAAGGAGTGTGCAGTGTAACGTGTGGAGGAGGGGTAGCCAAGAGAGTTCTGTATTGTGCTCGAGAGGCAGATGGGGAGGAGGAGGTGTTGGAGGATTACAGCTGCAGTGGCTTTCCCAAACCAACAGCCGTGATTCCATGTAATACTCACAGCTGCCCTGCAAGGTGAGATGCACACAAGCAATGTTATTTTTTGCAAAGGCCATAAGTCATCTCACCATCAGTGTGACTTGTACAGGTGGAAGGTATTCAAGACATGGCCCTGCTCTGTATCCTGTGACCTGGGTGTAGCTGAGAGGAATGTGTCTTGTGTCCAATTTATCCATGGTAAAGAGAGCGTGGTGCCAGATGATAGCTGCAGGGCAGCCGTCAAACCTGCCATCACGGTGCCTTGCCTAGTGCAAGTGTGCACCTTCAAGTGGGAGGTGAAGCCATGGAGCCAGGTAGATCTGATTGGAATAGGATGACCAAGACTGCTTCAGATCAATGTGACTAAAAGCTTACATGATTTTTTTTTTTCTTGGAGCCATTTAGTTACAGAAAAATACTCTAATAATTACAATAAAGCATATGCATGTCCTGTTTTAATTCATGCATTTCAACAGTATGTTATTTAGATCGAATCTGCTGGTTCTCTGCATGCTGTTCATCATCTAAACATTATGTTTGTCTCTGCACATAATCCTGTTTACACTGTGACCTGTGTTCACCCCTCATGTTGTTTCTCTAAGTGCTCAGCACCCTGTGGATATGGTATCCAGTCCAGAGCCGTCTTCTGCATGGGCCCCTCGAAGCCCGAGCCCCTCAGCCCCCTGTTTTGCATGCACATGCCCAAACCCATCACCATACAGGGCTGCTACAAAGGCAGCTGTGGAGCTGTAGCCTTGAACAAAACCTCCCCAATTATGAGAACAAACCTCACAGAAAAGCGTCTCCCATCTCCCGTTCCGGTACATGAGGATGCCCAGAACGGCGTCAGCGTTGTTCCTCCGATTCCAACAGAGGCCGTAACCATCCCACATACTACCACAGCCATTCCGACGACAAAGTCTGGTGAGGTCCCTTCCATTATCTTTACCAGATAAAGCATGATTACTATTGCAGTGTTTGTGTTTTTCAAGGTCCATGTGGACAGCTACTCCTGGAGGAATCGGGCATTGTGGATTTAAAGGATGCGCCGAGCAGATGCACGGTGTCGATAGGTCGACCCCTTGACGAGGTCATCAGTATTAAAGTCATATCCAGTTCTTTGGATTGCAGACAAAGTATGTTTTTAACTCAATATTTCTACACTCTGATATATATACAAAGAGAGGTCTGTAAATGTGTGTGTTTTACAGGGGACTATGTAGCGTTTTTTGATCGCCTGGCCTTTGTGAGGAAGTGCGTTCAAGCAGCAGGCAGTGAACTGACCAGCAGAACCAATGTCCTGTTTGTTCGCCAAAATCTGCTCACCCGTGGAAATGGGGTTGTGTTTACCTATAGATCGGAGAGGAGTATGAAAAGGAGCCATCGTCAGGGTAAGGAAACCGCTGAAAGCATAATGCCTCAGTTTAATTAACAAACTAAAACAAGAATTGGACGACCTACAGAATTCTATTTTTGTCCCTGAACACTAACAAAGCAGATTGGCCAGTCGGCCTCAGCAGATGGCCTCTCTGGTTCTGCTGGAGGTTTCTTCCTGTTAAAAGGGAGCTTTTCCTCTCCACTGTCGCTACAAGCATGCTTAGTGTGAGAGATTGCATTATAGTCAATGAGTCGATGCAATCAACTGGTTTTCCAAACTTTGAATCAATTTGACTGTATGATCTGGTGAACTGTAAAGTGTCTTGAGGTGATGTGTTGTGAATTGGCGCTATAGAAATAAACTAAAAACTGAAAAACTGAAAACAGGTTTAGCACAGTGGTGAAGAGTTTGGGGTGGTTGTTCCTCTTGATTAGAATCACAGTATTTGCTCTTTTTGGTGGACTTTGAATGATTTTCAGGGTACTCCCACTTCCCTCCAAAGCATGCCTGTACGGTAAACTGATCTCTATGTTTCTCCTTGAGATAAACATTAGTGTTCATGGTTGTTTTTATGTCCATGTTGACCTCCGCTGAACTTAGCCCAGGGTGTATTCTCTACCTTCCCCGGACATGCTATATTTGCTGTATGTGACATTCAGGACTTTCTAGGAACTTCTCAAATTTACAGGTGCCACCTTTATGCTCTTGTTTTTGTTTTTTAAAGGGCTTATATGCTGCATGAACTTAAATTAAAAAGTGAAATTGAGGCAGAATTCTACATGCAAGGAACTTAAAATGATAAGCCACATCTACTTCCATCCAACTGTTTCAAATACTTCCCATTCCTAAGGGGCGGACCCGTTCTTCTGCTTCAAAATGCATTGTTTTCTAAGCCAAAACAAGCTTTTTTGGTCCACACTATAAAGCTTCGAACCCAACACTAATTCTGACATTTTGAATTGAAAAAGCTTCCTGGATGGGAAGCGAAACGTCATCAAACTTGGAAACAAAGTCCAGTGGATTGTTTCTTAACCTTTTTGGAAATGTAAACACCTGAATTTGCTAATACATTGTAATTCATGTATTGAGCTAATATATTTTCAGACATTGAAAACACGTGTCCTGTGTTTTATTTATTTTTTTTCAGCATTTATAAATATCTGTTTCCAGTAGAATACAACCAGAATTTGATCATCTTCTCTCAGCTAACGAAGGTTTGTCCCTCAGGGGCAGAGAAGCCATAAAGCTTCAGATCTTCATAGAAACTGACATCATTGAAGCTACTTAAATTCATATATTCAAAAAGAGGAAGAGAACAAATTTTAACCATATTTTTTACTGTTGCTCCATGCTTTCCTAAAACCTATTTACAATTCCATTATGCTGTAATGATTTTCTCATAAAAAAATATGTAAATATTTCATTGTAAATGTTACAATTTTAGTTTTCTTTAGTGTTTATTTTACTAATTGTTGCATATTAAGCCCAAAAGAATGAAATGTACAAATATAAATCATAGAATAAGGTTTGGATTTTAAATAGGATAGAATGTAAAAGTCCTGAGAGGGATTTACCCCCGTATTATTAAAATAAAATGACTGTAGAAGTGATTAGGAGTAAAAATTCATAGAGGGGATGCTTTAATGTGTTTTTCCCTTTTTAATTTTAAAGTTTCCCACAATAATGTATTATATTATGAAAATGCAACAGGAAAAAGTTTAAAAAAAAAAAAAAAAAAAAAGCTCTTCCAATGTTTTGAGCAGATCTAACGGCCTTTGACAGGATGTGACGAACAGTAAATTAACTGTTTCTTTGCTTCTCCACACAGATTGCGACATTCAGCTTTTTTCCCCCAGCGGCATTTTTGAGAATCCAGTTACGTCGAACGCCAGCCACACCTGCCGAGTGCTCATCAACGCCCCTCCTTCAGTGAAGATCAGGATCCAGGCGCTGCACATAGGATTAGTATTCAACACCACCAACTCCCAGTCTACATACATTATGGTGCAAAGCAGCTTTGTTTTTAATGCCATGTACGCTCGCTTACTGGGGATATGGATGAGGAACAAACTGTGTTATTATTGTGTTTTTTCTGTCCAGATCCGGGACATGGACGTCCTAAAGACCACTGTGTTTAACGGCCAGCAGCTGTTCCTGTGGCGCTCCTCTGGAAATATGGCGGAGGTTGAATTTCATGGTGATTACCTGTATTCCAAAGGGACCTTCAGAGCTGAATATTCCTTTGTGCGTCTTTGATTGAAGATATAAACTCTTAAGAATAGATTAAATATTATATGTGTAACATTTCTTAAGTTTACAGTTCTCAAAATAATCATTTATTGTATTCAGTAGAAAAATGTATTTAATTTAATTTACATACCTAATATATAAGCTTTTTTTTGGTGGGGGGATGAAAAAGAAACACAGAAGGAAAGGCAACCAGGATCTGTTAGGATCCACATGGGACATTTAAAATATAGACCACAAAAAACTCTTTGCAACATTACAATCGCTTTAACAACATTTCAAAATACACATCTATCATAGAGCATTTCTGCTTTTAAAGGCAGTGCATTTAAAGTCACACGTTTTGTGTTTTCCACAAACCCTTTGGTAACAGGTTTCCTCTTAGTTCTCCTTTCCCAGCGTGGTGCTCGGCCAACAACGCTGGCAACGACAAGATTCAGTTTCAGCTTCATGCACACGCGCCGCGCCACGCTCATGTGTGGGATCACTGTCTGGTCCCGGCTGTTTCTTCCAGGAGAACTCTCATGTCCAACAAGGCTTTCTTTACAGCCTGGGCGAAGTTGGCAGCGTTTGTCTCCTCACAGCTGTTGAAGGCCGTGATGGCGATGTTGATATGCTCATCCATGGGATTGTAACACACCCCGTAGCCATCTGGCACCATTGGACCGAAACACATCACACAATCCGTCTTGGAACCAACCTATATAAAGAGATGCGAATAAATGAATAAATTGGAATGTAAACAGTCTTTTTCTCAGAAATAATAGAGTGTGATGTTTTTTCTTCATACCTGGCTGGTATAGAGATTAAAATGATGAGCTACTGCATATGATGTATCCATAAATATCTCAGGCATGGAGGTCAGATCTTCAATACTCTGCATTTTTAGCCCAAGCAGATGCCTGTCGATCCCTTGTCCATTAATTGCCTGCAAATAAAAAGGCCACGTATGGTGGGGAAGTTAATAAGTAGTTAAAGAAAAAAATACCAATTATGAATGAGTTTTTAATAAAAGCTGCAGTTCTTACATTAAGCGTGTTTTCCTTGTGAGTTTGAACGGCCTTCTGCAGCAGCGCCACCCGCTCTGTGTTCTGTTAGGAACATTTACTGCTCAGTAAAACATGGAATATTTACTTTGCCTTGGGAAGTATTTATATACCGACAACATTGTCACAACTTAAACCTCTTTTAGTGGGTTTCATGTGATCTAAACACAGTGTCTTAATCTGAGATTTTAAAATAGATTCCAGTTAAAATCTGTTATCACATAAGTAATAGAAAGAAATCTTCAGACCAGCGTATAATGGCCAACCAGCACAAACAAACAGCAACCTGAGTCCACTTTGACATCCCGCCCAATTTGATGCTGGTGTCCTAAAAGATTTCCTTATTTGTCACACCAGAGCCAAAGTATAACTTCACATGATGCTCGACATTCCTCCTTTTAGGGAGGAAAATGCTTCTTGTAAGAGTAGTCATAAAATACATCTTGTTTCTCGTAATTTTACGACTTTATGCTAGTAACGTTACGACTTTATTCTTGTAATTTTATGATTTTATTCTTGTAATGTTACGACTTTTCTCTCTTAATTTTACGACTTTATTCTTGTAATTTTATGATTTTATTCTTGTAATGTTACGACTTTTCTCTCTTAATTTTCCGAGTTTATACTTGTAATTTTATGACTTTATTCTCGTAATTGTATGACTTTATTCGCGTAATGTTACGACTTTATTCTCATAATTTTACGACTTTATGCTAGTAGTGTTACCAGTTTATTCTCGTAATTTTATGACTTTATTCTCGTAATTTTACGACTTTATGCTAGTAATGTTACCAGTTTATTCTCGTAATTTTATGACTTTATTCTCGTAATTTTACGACTTTATGCTGGTAACGTTACGACTTTATTCTTGTAATTTTATGATTTTATTCTTCTTATGTTACGACTTTTCTCTCTTAATTTTACGAGTTTATACTTGTAATTTTATGACTTTATTCTTGTAATTGTATGACTTTATTCTCGTAATGTTACAACTTTATTCTCGAAATAGAAATACTCCGTTGTAGTCCTAGAAATTATAGCGATAAACAATTGCATTGTCATTTGTTAGCTTTTGCCTTCGCAATTAAGACATTTTGTTTCCAAATCTCACCTAGAGTGTGCAAACGTAAATTATAAACTTAATTAAAATTTATCATGTGAAAAATTTTTATTATGCGAATAATGTTACAGGCCAAATAAGAAATAAACAAAGCTGCAAATATGGCTGAAACAATTAATTGGATTTATCGTGAATTGTGATTAATTGATTATTGAAATTATCGTCAACTAATTTAGTAATCGATTAATCGTTAACTGGAGTATAGAGACTGTACAACATACCTTTAGCTGACAGAGCGACCAACATAGAGCAGTAATTATACCAAAACTGAAAATATATAAACATTTTGCATTTAAGATGGGAAGAAACATTTTGTCTGTCAATATGTTCTATCCAGAACTCCTGAAGTGGAAAAGTTTGAGTTTCACCTGGTTTGATATGGTAAAAAGTCTTTAAAGAATCTATGGCGATTCAATTATTATTCGATTAATGAAAAAAACTAATTGAAAGAATAATCGATTTGCAAAATAATTGTTAGCTGCAGCCCTGGTTGCAAACATATCAAAATATGCCTTTTCAACTAAACTGACCCAGTAATGAGAATAATAATCAAATAACAATCGAAGAGTAAATATCCACGGTAACTAGAGGAACCCATGGGAGACAAATTAGTTCCAGACGTCACAAATTGGGGCTTTATGTAAGACTGGGACAGGGCTTGGCTGTTAATAGCATTTGCAATGTATCAGCAATTTAATGAAACAATTTTTTGAATTGCAGGTTTTGTGTCATTACATTCAACAAGAGTAAGATGCAGACTACTGACAGACCACAGACAGAAAATCAGAGCAAAAAAGCCCTTTTTGACATACAAACCAAACATTTATGGCTGTGCAAAATCTAAGTCATTCAGGTCATGGCAACAACAAAACAGGGCGTTTTTCTGAAAACGGTTTGACACCTACAGTATCTAGGAGTCTTTGGCATTTCTGTTGGCTTACACTACTCGACAAACTAGCCTTAACATTGCTTTTACAACTTAGAAAACACGGTGGGAGCTTAATGCAAATGACTTAAAAAAGCTTAGCAAGCAGATAAAGGTCGACTCTGCTCTTGGAACTCCTCTAGAACCTCCAGAGATTATTTCACATAAAGGACATTTTCATAAAGTGAAGAACATGATGGACAACAGTGAGCATCCTCTTCCTCAGACTTAAACAAAAACTGAGGGTCTTCAGTCAGAGGCTTCTCCAGACCCAATGCAAGACAGACCGCTAAAGAAGATCCTTCCTGCTTAGAGCTAACAACGCCTACAATAACTGATTAAAGATAAAACGCTATAAGTTAGAGCAATTTTTTATTTCCTTGATAAAGTATTTTTTATTTGAGTATGAAATACAGATCAGGCTTAGATCCTAATTAGAGTTCGTGCCAAGACTTTAAAATGATTAACATACTTGTTTGTTTCCAAATAATGGACAGAGTGTGTGTTTTACAGAGCCAGTAGTGAAAAATGAAAAAAACTCGGCTCCTAGTTTAAAGGATGGGTGTAGTATTGACTCATGGGAACTTTATACATGCATCCCATTTGTAAATAATAAAAAAAAACATACATATTTTTTAGGGATCCACTATATAATCGGCCCCCTATCGTTATCGGCCTGTATCGGCCTTAAAACTGAATATCAGACATCGGCCACCCCACCGATATTTAATCCGATATTTGATCAGCTTCTGAGTTTCTAAAGTCTAAAAAAGAAAAAAAAAATACTACTTCTTTTTT